CAGCATAAACCCACCGCGACCATGACAAATCCATCGTCAACATAATTATCTAGTTAACCTCCAGTGTATCCAACCCACCCAAAACATATTCGTACCCACTTCCAACAGCAAACTCAACCCACCAGCCTCTTTTGACCCACCAAGTCTCTTCGCTCAGCCTTCAAGAGACCCATCGACCTCTCCCTTAACCCTCCAGCCCACAACTAGGAGGGCCAGGGACCTCCCCAACCCACCAGCAGAAGACCAACCATGGTGCGTGGCCCACCAGTAACCTGGCCAACCCACCGTGTGGCGGCCATGTACGCTGGTGGGCCGCCCTAGCCTCGCACGGGTAACCCGGCTCTGACCACCGTATTTGGCTCACTCACCTCTCCTGCCTCGTCGCCCTCCCGACACCCACCATTTACTTCATTACTTATTTTGTACAATTTTAAGCATTTTGGAGTAGTGATCCATACGTACTGTCAACGTAATTAATATTCTAACGTGGAGAACAGCTTGTAATGTTTACAGACTTTGTGGCAGGTGAGATTTACTGAAGAGGGAAATGTGTAAAGGAGGCAACACCTCACCTTGCCCAGATCATGAATGGACGTAACCTTAGCTACGTTCTCGTCATTACGTATGCTGCGGTTCCTCGCCCGCTCCCACCACATGGCCATTACAACTCGCCCTTCTCACCTTTTAATTATTCCATTAGAAGTGGCATGAAATAATACAGCCAGTGAGGTAGTAAGGTGCGGGTGGCGGGGTAGGAGAAGTGCCCAGGGGTGAGTATAGACGTGCCCAGGCCAGGAACGAGCCGCAGCCCTGGACGCTGCCCTTCACAATGGGATCATGAATGGATGAGAGACAGACACACACTCCGCACACTCGCCCTCCTCGCCCTCCTCCTCCTCCTCCTCATGGCCTCCTTCTTTACCTTCTTCCGCCACCTCCACATCGTGGCCTCTTCCTCACGCTCTTCTTCCAACCTTTCTGCCTTTATCCATCTCTTAACCTTTCTTACCGCCCAGACTCACTATCTGTCATCTTAACTGCTACCTTGAGGTGCGTGCAGGTGTTCTCTGGTGCTCCCGGCTTCTTGTTGCCTAGATTACGTGTGTATGTTTCATGCCACGCCACACCTGTGTTGATAGTTGACGTGAGGCGGAGCAAGAAAATGCCTCCCTGACAGATGATGCCTTGTTACCCCACTACGACCCGTACAGCCTCAGGGGGGAGGACAATTGATGACACTTGAATGCATCATTGTTTGATTACGACAGATGACTCCATTGATCTGGGAAGAACAACTTACTATGTCACTCAACACAATTTTCTCCTCGAAGATGACTCTTGTATGTCTTTCTTACTCTCTGACGGCAACAAACCAACGTCAGTCTCCAGCCGGAAAAATTATTTGTTGTTGTTACTTCACTTTAGTCATGTGTTACTTTACCTCCACCCAGCACCACATGCGGCCAAGGGTGGTGACCCCTAACCTAGTTTCTGACCTTCGACAGTATTGTACCTGGGTGAACCACACCCCGGCTTGTCCTGGTGGCGGCGGCGTGGGTGTTGGGGCTGTGCGGGAGTTTACGACAGGTTCGTGACCCGACGCGCTAACAGATTTGTAGCCGTGATGGTGGACTGGGGGCGTCCAGGCCAGCGGGGCGTAGTGCAGGTGGTCCCCTGCTGACGCCACACTCCTTGTGTCTTCCTACACACTGTATCTCCCCCCCCCCACACTGTCTCTCCCTCCACCTTACTGTCCTACTAGTTTCCTATTTAAGTAAAATCTGGAAATTTTCCATCATGCTCATACTTCAGGAAAATACGTGAACGTCGACAAAAAAAGACATTGTTTTTTACACACACACACTATATATATATATATATATATATATATATATATATATATATATATATATATATATATATATATATATATATATATATATATATATATATATATAGTGTGTGAATTTGTACCCAAGACAACCCCCCCACCCCTCTCTCTCGGTGGGGGTGCAGCATCCCACCCCTGGACGTGCTAGCGCTGGGCTGATGGTGGGTGGTGCCACCTGCCGTAAAAGGGCGTGGGCGTGAGGTGGTTGAGAGGCCTTCTCTGACGGGGACGCTTGGGTGGGCGGCCTGCCCTGGGTGGCCATACGGGCTCCCCGATGTGTAAGAGGACCATCAGAAAGTATAATTACGTGATTACGTGTGAATGAATGGTAGTGGGGACAAAGGCCAGCAACCTGTGCCGCCGACGATGACCACAACTGTTGTAGAGTAACCACCCAGATGGCGAGCTATAGAGTTTATGTAGGTAGTTGAGGCAAGGCAGAGTATGGAGGATGTATATGGTAGGGAGGTCTGTTTATGGTTATACACAGACCTCCCCACCCACAGATATCTCTGGCTGTGCAGCGGTAGTCAACACTGACAGTTTACGCTGCGACGTGTTCATCACTGGAGGTGGTGTCCACACTGAACTAGTATGTTGTGCGCCACATAAGCCGGAGCAGGCGGGTAAGACGAGACAAGTCAGTCGTAAATCTTAGTGATGCGGCGAGTGGCGACCACCGCCAGAGTGGCTGGCTGCACCACCTCGCTCCCACGCCGCCCCCGGCACCTGATTTGCATCCCTGAATGGAGAGAGGAGCGTTACAGCGGACCTGGCACCTCCACCCGCATGTTAGCCAGTCTTCCCCCTGCTGGCCGCCCTCTCTACGCTTCCGGAGCATCACTAATAAGGGCGGCTGAGGTGGATCCCTCCTGCGTGGTGAGTTGAACCCGAATATCCCCCCTCCCTCCCTTCTGAACGGTAGGCAGCCAGGTGACGCTGACACAAGACCACCTCCAGCACCTCTTGAGCCCTCTGGCGCCCCACAACCTGCCACTACCTCCAGTCTCTTCACACCTCGTGCACACCTCCTACCCCGTTTCACTTCCCACCTCGTGCACACCTCACTCTCACTTGGAGACAAGAGGTCTTACAGGAAAAACGACCACATTCTGAACCAACAATACGACTCATGGGAACAAGACCCAGATAAAGTAGTTCATGAAGAGAGAGATAGAGAGAGTCTCTCTCCTTGGTGACACCTCAGTACTGTACCACGACGTAAACACGTAGAGGGTAAAGTGGTGACTGTTGGTGTGCGAGGGTAGCAGTGTGAGGGGGTGACGCTGTGGGGGCAGGGGTGACTGTTAGTGTGTGAGGGGAGGGGGCAGGGGTAGCTGTTAGTGTGTGAGGGGAGTGGGCAAGGGAGACTGTTAATGTGTGAGGGGGAGAGGGACGGGTGACTGTTAGTGTGTGAGGGGGTAGGGGTGACAGTGTTTGTGGGGGAGGGGGTGCCAGCACAGTTATCTTGTTAGCAAGAAACATAACGGGAGGAGAGGAGACCAAGAGCCGGTCTGTGTTCACCCCCAGAGTTCATCACCACACAGCCATCCCCGTTAAATTATGTTTATATTTTTCACAGTGTAAGACCATCGTGTGTTCTGGGGCAGCGAGCGGGTGGGGGCGCCGTCAGGTGTCTCTCTCACCTGTAGTGGTCCTCCCTGACCATGATGGCAGTAGTCTCCCCTGCCTGGTCTGTGGGCGGCCTTCACTCGTGTGTCGTCTGCTGCTTATCTCCACACACACACACACACACACACACACACACACACACACACACACACCAGCTGCCTCCCGCGCTTTTCATCCCTAGGTACAAACTACACTACGCCAAAAATAACTGCAGGTGTTTTGTTTGTCAGTAATGTATCAAGCGGCAGCATTATAAGGAAGAAATATGCCTGGCAAACTCTTTAATTAGATAAAATACTTTCAAATTTTAATTTTCGTCGTTTGCACTTAGGAAAACCTTGAAATATATTGCCTCGACAATGGAGTCTGTATATGCTACCTCTCTTTAAATACATTATTACATTCGAAGGTCAGTTAAGACAGTAAAAAGTGTTAAAGATGAAGAAGATGTATTTACTGCTGCGAGGTCCTTGGTGTAGGGACGGGTGCTGGTGGACCTGGGGAGAGTCTAGTTGAGTGACTTGCACACGCGTTCCCTTATCCGGATGGTAGGAGGGCCAGACTCAGTGCCTCCAGGTGCCAGCAGGTCATCATGACTGGCTGATCCGGTGGTGGTCGGGTCGGCACAAGTGTGTGTGAGGGGGGGCGAGGGGTCATGCTTGAGTGGTGGTGGTTAGAATTGAGACATCCACTCGTTAGTTACCAGGCACTAGTAACAAGGTGGAGGGGGGAGGCGTAACAGGTCAGTGGACTGAGGCAAGCGAGTGTAGGACGTATAGATGAGGCCACTGAGTAACAACAGGACTGGGCCACATGTTGAGCTGTGTGGCCATCCTGATGAGACGCCACACAGTCCCTCACTGAGAAGGAACTGCAGTGGTCAAGAGACCACAGGTGGGGATGGGTAAGTGTGCCAGGGTGGGTCTAGGTGACTGGTGGTATAAAGTCGGAGTGAAGGAAAGGGAACCCAGTTGACAGTTCACAAGAACACGCCTGTTGACAGACACACGTGAGGAACCTACACGTTGTCTTCGACACACACATACCGCCCCACAACTAGGTGGCTGACCTGGGTGGCTGACGCGCGCCCCTCACCTGGGTGGCTAATGCGCGCCCCTCACCTGGGTGGCTGACGCGCGCCCCTCACCTGGGTGGCTGACGCCCGGTTCTCACACACGCTAACTACTGCTTGCTGGCTCCTCGTGTTGGACTCCAACATTCTTTGATAATTACATTAAGCACGATACATTAGCCATTCATATAAGCCATCTAAGTGACTGCCTTAACTCCTCTTTATCTCAGCCTGAGTGTGTGTCCTGTCTGTCTAGGTTCCCGGATGTTGATAAGTGTAGTGAGAGAATAAAGCATTCGGTGGTTATTGTGAGGTAAGAGGTGTGTGTCCTTGCTCTTGGTGGGCGGCGGAAGACACACAACACTATAACTTGTGCGCTGTTACAACACTGAAGGCCACACTCACCTTGAACCACTTTACGGAGTGATGATGGCTCCTCTGGGCGGGGTGCGTCCCTGTGGGCGGGGCTGATGGGCGTTGTGGTCACCAGTGAGCGTGGCATGGGCGCCGCCTCCCGGGCCCTCTGTTGGCTGAGGTGAGCCGTGGCCACACTGTAAGGGGGCGGCAGGGGGCGCTCCGTGTAGGCGGGTGGCAGGTCCCTGTGGGTGTGTGGCTGCATGTGGGCGGGTTCTGCAGGTGGGAGATCATGGGCGGATAGGTAACGGGGCGGTACGCAGGTGATCACTGTTGGGCGGGCGCGGGCGGGGGCTGGCAGGTAGGTGGGTCGAGGGTGGTAGGGTGGAGGGGATGGGGAGTTGGAAGTGGGGGTGTGGTGGGGGAGACGTGTGGGTGGGGGAGAGCGACGCTTGGTGCTCATGTCTAGGGGCACGTCATCGTCCATGTGGGCGTGGGTGTAGTAGGCGTGGGCGTAGAGTGGCGCAGGGGGAGGGGAGTCCACCACGTTGATCTCGTCATCACTGGAACACCCTCGCTCAGGACTGTGGGAGAGAACACACAACTTACTTAACTGTACTACTAAAACAACTTACTTAACTACTTACAACACTAAACCATTACCCTCGACTACTTACGACACTAAACCATTACCCTCGACTACTTACGACACTAAACCACCACACTGAACTACACGAAAATAAAACCCACTATTATACTTTCCATATTATAAGTACACCTCTTAATTGCTCCATAAAACGCGGTATTAAGTGGAATGTGAACAGTGTAATGTGTACTACAATACTGATGTAGCTAATACCAGTAATTAAAGCTTGATGGTGAGAGTGTGTTAGGAGGAGACACACCACACAACGGGTATGTGCTGTGTTGCTGTACTGTCTTCTATGGTGTGCTGTGCTGTGTTGTATTATGCTGCACTGTGTTGTGTTGTAACATGTGTTATGCTGTGTTGTATCGTGTGTTGTGTTGTATCGTGTGTTGTGCTGTGTTGTATCGTGTGTTGTGTTGTAAAGTGACCACCACAAAGTAACATTACAACACTCGTACATAACTAATAAAAAAAAAATCCTGAATTATAGGAATACTTAATTTAAAAATTCTATTGTATATTTTTCATCACACTACGAGCCTCTGACACACACACACACACACACACACACACACACACACATCCATCGATTTTTAGCACACGTGTTCGTTCCTTCCTGACATTATTCCTCATGTGTTGAACAGTGTGTGGCCTTGTGATGTGACCCATGGCACTCAAGAGATTAATGTGTTAAAATAATTGATGTGTTGATGAGAATCGTTCAGTGTGTGTGTGTGTGTGTGTGTGTGTGTGTGTGTGTGTGTGTCGTAGTTTCATGAGAACAGTAAATACTCATCGTCTCCAGTTAACTCGCTTCTCTCAACCACACACTCATTAACACTCTCTTACCACGAATTCCTATGCAATCACCATCATTTTCTCGCTTTACCTGTCCTCAACACACCCACCCATGGAGCCACAGGTGAAGTCCACACGAGGAAGCCTTATTAGCTCGACCATAACACCTGTGTGAGGACACCGCCACTATCGCTACCACCACAACCACCACTATCACCCCTCACTACCATCACTCCCTGTCCACCACCACCCCTTCCCTAACTACTACCCCATCATCACCACCACCCACCTAACATCATTACCACCAGAACCATCACCCCTCACCACCATCACCCTCCGAAACCCCCCAGCACCACCACAACCCATAAACACCCCCACCACCACAACCACCCCTACCACCACAACCACCCCTACCACCACAACCACCCCCACCACCCCCACTAAAGGTTACGTATACTTGCCGCACGTGTACACACAATCCAGTTACTATTCGGTTTTATGAAGAAAAAGTGGTGGTGGGGAGGGAGGTGGGGGTAAAATATGGCTTTGTTGGTATACGTAATGTAACGCTTCCTGGAGGCTATCACGTGTCGAAATAGATGTAGCGTTGAAATGGTGTCCAGGCGAGAAAAGGAAGTAATTACAGCGTGTAGAAACAAATGTAGATGTGTAAAACATAATGTACAGCGTGTTGAAATAGATTCACATAAGGGAGAAACTATTTATATAACATAATGCCTGAAGCCTATTTAGTGAGGGAGATAAAGAACATCAGTTTTAATCCCAGTGAGAACAGAATTCCCACCAAGGTTTATTTATTGGTGATTTATATGATTATTTGTGTGTGTTCAAGGTTGATGGTTCACTTCCGGATCCGTTAAGACAGTGTTCAGTTTCTATCCTCTCTGACTTCTCTCCCGCTGTTCATATTCCTCTTACATAAGTTAAAAGTGAGAGGTGATGTGATCCAAGTGTACAAATAGAAGTCAAGGTTAAATACAGGTGATATAACTAAGGTACCTTAACTGTTAAACCAGGAGCGAACACACAGCGATAGTTTTAAGTTAGACAAATTTAGATTTAGGCGAGAAATAGGTAAACACCACTTTGGAAATCGAGTAGTGGATGAGTGGACCAAGTTCCCAAATATCATCAATAACTCGAGCACTCTTAGATAGCTTCAAATATGGGTTGGGCGGATATATGAGTGATATGGGTCGGGTGTAAACAGGGCCCGCTGCACTTTCCTTCATTCTTACGTTCTTTTAAGTTGAGGCGCTCTTATAACAATCTTGAAAGTAGAACAATTTATCCAATGTCATAGCCGCTGTCACTTTGTGCTTGTGTCATGCGGGTTAGTTCATGCATTGACTGGTGTGTGACATGCACCGAGTGTCCATGTGGTGACGAGTGAGAGCTTTTATGCATGCGAGCGCCAAGAAGTAAGCGCCAGGCAGAATGGGGCCGATGTGTGTGTGTGTGCGAACTAAACTGTGAGGTCATTATTTACATGTTCACAGTGACCAGCTGGCTATCAATAATATAAGTGACCTTTATTTATTGTTGTTTGTTGTCGGCCACCACGCACAATGGTTGCCGGAATTTGCCCCAATTCTGACTTAATTATGAAATATAAATGTCAAAGGGAGATTTATGTGACTGAAAGTGGTGTATATGCGTGACTGCTATTTTGTGTTGGCTTGTGCGTGGTGACAGGAGTGCTTTTCAAACACGTATCATTTGGTAGACGTGACAGTCGTACTAGTGTTGGCAGATGGACACTGTTGTTGAGGCAGTGACTGGGGGGTTACCTGATGTACTCATAACCGGAGAGTAACCAACAGTGAAGGCCATCACAGATCAGCGGAAGCCTTAGTAGCAGTCCGTGGAGGACCCGTGTAACACCTCACACTGGCTGACTGACCTACTTGCTACCGGGGGCTGTGTGTACCGCCTCCCTCCCTCCCCCTGTGTTGGGGCTTCTCCTCTTCTCTCCCTCACACAGCAAATATCCCTCAACCCCCCCCCCTGCCTCCCTCTCTCCCTAATACTCAAACCCCAACCTCTCCACCCTATCCCCACCTTCTCTCTCCCCTCCCCTCCCCCACCATCTCAATCCGTTCACAGCCAGAGTTCACCTTGTGGCAGCTTTCATTTCATTTCTTTCACATAGCTTAAAAAAGTGATATTTCACAGTTCAATGCCTCAGGAACTGTGAACTGGAACACCTGTCCTCGAATCGGCACATGACCTGACTGTTACTGTGACTGTTGTGATCCTCCTCCCCACCTCCCTCAAATACAGTCTCTTTTGTTCTTGGATTTTCTTGGCTGTTTCTGTAGTTCAGTTAGTTTAATAGTTTAATTCCTACAGTCACTTTTTATTTCTTTATTTTTTTACTTTTGATTGTTTCTGAAAGTCAATTTTCTTTGATGTGTTCAGTTTTTCGTTTATTGTGATTTTTACAGTTTTTTTGTTTTTCAGGTAAATGTTACAGCTTTTTGTGCTCAGTTTATTGTTATTATGTTACAATTGAATGTTATCGTTGTCGCATTCTGTTGTTGTTGTTTTTTATTGTTTTTGTATTTCAGTAAACTTTACCGATATTGTATCTCAGTAAATTGGGATCTTTTTATTCACCTGCCACCCCCACAAAGGTTAAACCATCATTCTTAATGAGTTTATACCGTCGCTTAAATAAACCATCATCCTCAAAGGCGTTTAAATCATCATCCTGTTAAACCATCATCCTAAAACAACATCTAAGCCCTCATCCTAAAAATAAAAAAAAAAAATAAACTCATTCTGTTAAACCATCATCCTAAAATGGCGTTTAAAACCAACACGCAATTAACACATCGCCATCAAAGGTTTATAATAAATTGCCCCCTGTTAATAACCAAGGCGCGGGTGATGGAGGAATGTTGTGAGACGGTCAATGAATTATCGCACCTTGATAACTTTATATAACTTTTAACATGATATATAGTTATTTATTATGCTGGCTGCTGGCCTTCATGTTAACTGGGTCACCGTGATAAAAGTCTTGCTTCTTTGTGACTTGGTGTGAATATTTGTAGTACAGGTGGGGGGGGGTACAGTACAAGGTGAGTGGTAATGAGTAGTTACACCTGGGGACTGAGTGTGTGTGTGTGTGTGTGTGTGTGTGTGTGTGTGTGTGTGTGTGTGTGTGTGTGTGTGTGTGTGTGTGTGTGAGGGAAATAAAGGGCAACGTGATAAAGATGAGGGAGGTAGAAGAGGAAGGGGTGGGTGACAGAGGGGCGGAAAATGAGAGAGGGTCTGGTTTGAGGGTTGAGGAGGGAGGTGCGTGTGATGAGGGACAGTGACTTAAGGAGGGGCGAGTGAGAGGGACAGTGACTTAAGGAGGGGGCGAGTGAGAGGGACAGTGACTTGGGAGGGGCGAGGACAGTGAGAGAGGGACAGTGACTTAGTGAGAGAGGGGAGAGGACTTGAGGAGCAGAGTGAGAGAGGGACAGTGACTTAAGGAGGGGCGAGTGAGAGAGGGACAGTGACTTAAGGAGGGGCGAGTGAGAGAGGGACAGTGACTTAAGGAGGGCGAGAGAGAGGGACGAGTGACTGAGGAGGGCGAGTGAGAGAGGACAGTGACTTAAGGAGGGGCGAGGAGAGAGGGACAGTGACTTAAGGAGGGGCGAGTGAGAGGACAGTGACTTAAGGAGGGGCGAGTGAGAGAGGGACAGTGACTTTAGGAGGGGCGAGTGAGAGAGGGACAGTGACTGCGAGTGAGAGAGGGACAGGGACAGGGCGAGTGAGAGGGACAGTGACTGAGGGGCCAGTGACTTAAGGAGGGCGGGTGAGAGAGGGACAGTGACAGGAGGGCGGGACTTGAGGGGCGGGGAGAGGGACAGTGACTTGAGGAGGGGCGGGTGAGAGAAGAGAGCTAGGAGAAGCGAGAGCTAAGGAAGGGGGTGAGGGAGGGCGGAGGCTGGGGAACCGGTCTTGGGGCGCGCGTGATAAGATACCAACTAAAGGCTGAGATTTGATAATAGTGTGTGGGCGAGAAACACGGACCTATCAGTAATGATCCTGGCTACTATTACACCCGTTTTTGTGTGTCTGTGGCTGTTGAGTTACGCACCACACACACACACACACACA